TCTATATGGCCTTAAGCAAGCTCCACGACAATGGAACTTGAAAGTTTGCGAAGCCATGAAAAAGCTTGACTTGCAGCAAGCATCTAACGAGCATTGCCTGTACTACAGACGCGACGGCAACGACCTGCTTGTAGTAGCGGTTTTCGTCGACGATTTCTTTATCCTCTGTAGTAACGACAGCATGAAGGACGCCTTTAAACTTGGTTTAAAGAAACTATTTGTGGTCAAAGACCTTGGCCCTGTCAAAGACTGTCTTGGAATGCGTGTTGTCCAAAAGCCTGGCAACATATCTCTCGATCAAACTAAATATATCGAGAAGGTGATTGAAAAGTTTGGTATGACTGATGCCATCCCTGTCTCAACACCCATGGAACCTGGTATGAAGCTCACAATCCCTGAAAAGGATGATGAGAAACCCGATTTGCCATACCAACAACTTATTGGTTCTCTAATGTACATTGCATTTGGCACCAGACCAGATATATCCTACGCTGTATCTTATCTAAGCCAGTTCAATGGACATTACGGGGAGGTGCATTTTAGGGCTGCCAAACGGGTTATAAGGTACCTGAAGGCTACGAAGGACCTTAAACTAACGTACAAAAATGGTGAAGGGTATCCCACCGGCTTTGCTGACGCCGACTACGCCAGCAACGTTATAGATAGACGCTCGTACACAGGGTACGTTTTCAAGATGTGCAGTGCTGCGATCTCTTGGGAATCCAAGAAACAGCGCACCCCTGCACTGAGCACCACAGAAGCAGAGTACATGGCTCTAGGCGAAGCCTGTAAAGAAGCCATCTACCTCCGCACCCTCATTAAAGAAGTTTACGACGTCATACAGCCACTCACCATTCATACAGACAATCAAAGCACAATCAAACTCACTCGCAACAACACATTCCACGCTCGCACAAAACACATCGACATTAGACATCACTTCATACGCCTACTCTCAGAACAGGACTACATCATTACATACATACCGACACACAACATGATCGCAGACATCCTCACCAAGCCTCTCCCAAAAATCAAACATTGTAAATTTTCATGTGCATTAGGATTAGGCTAGGATTCAGATCATCGTTAGGTATGTAAATAGTTCTCTAGGTTAGGTGTATATACAGGATGAATTTTTTGATGAAGTGTATATACAGGTTGATGTTATTTTTGTTTGTGTATAGTGTTAATTTTGTGTTGTGTTATCGTGTGTTTGTACAGTAACTTTGATATGTCGTTTATTTGTATATAGGTACAGGATGTCCCATTACGGGGAGGTGTTGTAAATACTCCTTTTAGATAATGGCACACCCTGTCCATTGTATATTTTGAATTGACTTTGTCAGTTTGATATAGAATATAAGAAACATCAGTCATACGACACTCTAATAAAATAAGCTGTCTTGCTTACATCTAAACTCGGTTTTAGTGGCAATATTTACATTTTATAACATACATATATAGTCTAGACAGTTTTTACCTACTCCCTATCACGGTTCAAACAAAACCTGGGCTCTTGAGGGCAGTGCCAGTATCATTCTAATCTAATTTCTGCAACTTTCTAGTATTCTATGGCCAACCATAGGTAGAAATGTATACAAACGGAATGTGATTATGCATTAGTTGTAAGTTATTTCTTTTATACTACACCTGCATAGAAAGTGACCTATAGCATAATATTATTTATTCTTATGCCTATAGCTTTATAAAACGTACAGAGGAACGTGAGTCATTGTTTATGTTTCAAATTTGTAAAAAAGTGGTTAAAAGTTTGTATGGAAGATCATGATTTTAAAATGCGATCTATCTGTTTCAAAACTTGCGATTTGATCAAAAGCTAAAAAAAGGAAATACGTGTTTCAAGGATTTTCGATTTTTAACCCCTAAAGGGGTAAAAAAGGGTTTTAAAGTTTGTATAGGTAATCATTATTTTTAAATGTGATCTGTTTCAAAATTTGCGATAAGATCAAAGAGCTGAAAAAATTGAGTACATGTTTCAGCATTTTCTGAACTTTGACCCCCTTTAAAGGGGTAAAAAAGGGGTTGAATGTTATATGGAAAAACTTCATTTTTAAACACGATCTGTTTCAAAATTTGTGATTAGATTTAAGCTAAAATAGTAGTTTATGCAATTGCCTTATAATGAGAGGCTTTAGGATGTGAGTGTCTGTTTATCACACGAGGCGCAGTCGAGTGTGATGATAGTTTGACATGAGCATTCTAAAGCCTAATTATATGCAGTTGCATACACTATTTTATCTACACTCAGTAGCGTATACAGGGGGGGAGGGGGTCGCAGGGGTCATGACCACCCCACACATTTCTAATGTAAAATGTCGAGCTCGCTTCGCTCGCAATACTTGTAGTGGTGATATAGTGTGGTGTCCCCTCGGACGCATTTTTAGCGCGAATTGTCGAGCTCGCTTCGCTCGCAATACTTGTAGAGGTGATATAGGACGGTGTCCCCTCGCACGCATTTTTAGCGCGAAATGTCGAGCTCGCTTACGTATAGTGTTGATGAGGTGCAATGTCGCTTCTTTCGTTTTTGTCAACTTGAAATGTTAGACTTACTTTGCTCGTAATGCATATTCTGCCTGAGTAGTGTAGTTTAGCGATAGTAGTCTATGATATGTGCTGTGACCCCCCCACGATCGGAAGCTGTATACGCCACTGTCTACACTCTACAATAAAAACTATGAAAAATAATTCAAACCTCCGCACTGCACTATTGCGATTGCGATTGCAAGCAGAAGATTGAAGCAGTTCTACTGAACCACCAACTGAACGACTTTTGTACATAAGTAACTTTTGAACTAAATGTTAAAATGTAGGCTCATAAAACATTTACGACTTTTTTTTTATTTGACTTACTGTTGACTCAAGAAATAAAAAAGTGGCATATTTGTTTTGTTTTTTTCTGAAATACTAGACAATTTTAGTATGAAAATTATTTTTTAAAGCTGCATACTTCTTAATGCAGTGCATTACGTAACTGCTTTCGATTCTGTAAAACGAATATTACGAAATGAGTGTAGATAATAGTAATATATGTGTCTCAGGAATCAAATTTTCTGACCCCTACAGGGTAAAACTTTTCTTAGTTTTATCCACCACACAAAAAAATTACAACCGAGCAAAGCCAGGGTGGCACCACTTGTAAACTATATTTCTTTCTTTCTTTCTAATCAGGCAATCTAGTAGGTAATATACAGGGCGAACCATACAGTAATGGCCAAAAGACAATTTAAATTCCATATACTGAGAGGTATCTGTAGGTATCATCCCAATGTATGATCTGCATATATTTTTTGTAATTTCTGAGTAAAGCCAGTATTAATTGGGGACAAAATCCCAGAAACTTTGTATAAGAATCACATCAGACACAATGTTCCCACTAAATTGCCAGAAACATTGTTTGAAATACATAGTCATTGGGAAATTTTCGGGACATTGTACTAGAAACAAAGTTTTGTCCGAAACGATTTTGTCCCCAATGAATACCCTCCTATTATATTACTTTAAAAGTTGTATAGGAAATATTTTACTGGCAGAAATATATTTCATACAAAGTAAAAATAATCAAAATTATTCTACACAAAGAGCCGCTCAAAAACAGCCATGCCAAAAGTTATTGAATTTTCACAAACTTGAAAAATATAACTCGGAAAATACAAAGAATCTGGGAATGTTTAAAAGGGGTGCTCCGGATACCCCTCAGTATAAGGAATTTAAATTTTGTCTCTTGATGTCACTGTGTGGTCCATCATGTATTTTGACACCACAAGCATCAAACTGTATGCTGTTGTATTTGTTGAGTTCTGTTTGGTTGCGGGAAATTCAACAACCCTATAAACTAAACTAGAAAACTATACAACCAAAACAACATACTATTTTCTGTTATCAAAAGTTTTGATAAAGTTTTGTGACTGAGATTTAGACGTCCAATTATTATTAACTCGTCAGAACTACAGCAAGGAACACTTAGTCGCTTATCTCCACTAGTTTTATTACTTTACAGTTACATTTCTTATTAGAATTCTTACCGTTCAAGCTACGATTGTACGCTATACGATCACTTAGATACACGTTTATAGCGAGCTTTTTCTCGGACTCTTCGCCGAGGATTTTGTCTCTGCCGGTCAGCTCGACCGCCACACCACCCTCTCCAAGTCCCGGGACGATCCTCGCCTCGTCAGCGAGGATCTGTCTCTCGTAATCGTCTTCTTCTGGATCATGTTCCTGCGCGCGAACGGTGCGCCTGCCGCCGCGCCATCTCTCCACCAGAGCCAGTACAGACACCACTAGCAGGAGCACCACACCCACTTTTGCCACATAAAAACATTTCCGCACCGGTAAATGCACCATTTCAGGGTGCCGAGACGCGATAATCTCGTTTCGCCTTCGACGGCGTTTTGACAACTACTGGCCGGTGACAGCCGGCCATGTTGTTTTGTTTACATAGGGCTCGCACGTGACTTTGCTGTTATCGATATCGATAACTGTGTTTTTACTTTTTACATTTGCCGGGATTTCCGAATTTCTTAACGATGAAAAAGGTGAAGGCCCACGTATGTAAGGGGAAACCTGTCGCCGATATCAACAGTATATTTTTTTATTTGCCTGGATTTTCCCATCTCTTATATCTGAACAACAGGCACTTGGAGAAGTGGCATGTTGTGGTTGTTGATATTCCATGGGGTTGGCAACTGTCAAAATGGCGCTAGCATAGATGGTCCCACCCACAACAACAAAGCATTTTTTGTAAGGCGAAAATCAGTTTTTCGTAAATTTTATTAAAATAGCGCGATGCAGTAGTGTACCAAATGATCGAGAATGGGAAGCCGTCGGCTCACAAAAGATGTGAAATTAGGAAAACTTTGGCTCAAAGCGATTAGACGCCCTGGTTTTGAGCCTAAAAATAAATCTATTGGGATTGTAATGCACTCACAGTGCTATATTAGTATCGCAAGTGAAAATAAGAAATAGAAAAAGTGACAAAAATCGACCGGGAATCGAACCCGGGCCGCATGGGTAAACGCCCCACCGCTCTTCCACTGAGCTATCGATCTCTTGATGCTCGTCTCCAAGCGACGATCCAGCGACCCATGCGGTCTGGGTTCAATTCCCGATCGATGTATGACATTAGCCAGCTGTAATGCTGTACCTATCGTATAATAGTATGTAGGTATACTTAGATTTTAGTTATTATTTTCGCTACTTTTTATTGTATTCTTTTTCAGCCACTGGCAGTCTTCAATGAGGCATTTTTTGCCGGCTGTAAAAAAAACAGTACTAACATGTATCATCGATTGGTGGCGTTGATCGAAAAGCTCTGGCCTTTTTCGACAACACATTTAATTTAGTTCATGCATGACAATCAAAACAGATAGAGCAAGGAGAGACGGTTTTTTTTTCACAAGGCAGTAGTCAAAAGCATTTTCAAAGTTCATAGACCACACTATTGTCTGAACGCTACTTTTGTTATCAACCTTGCGGGGTTATAGTTTTAACGCCATCTATTTTGCATAAAAAAGCGCAAGTTTTTTAAATCTGTAACTTATTTATTTTCATTGGTAAACCTTCGTGTTTATGATGGACCAGCAATCAGACAAACAATAGATTTTCGTAAAAAATATGCTGCGCAAGTAAAAACATGACTTTTTTAGACTGTATATCGATAGTCAATATAATGGTTTGATGAACATCCCTAAGCTTACTTTTTACTTTTTAAACCGGAAGCGGCATTTGTAAACAATCCATGCAGCCTTTTGATAAGAAAAGAGGTTGGGAGTAGGAAAACAGGAAAAGGCTCAAGAAAAAGTGACAAAAATACAAAAATGTTCATCTTATGTTCATCAATATTCCATGTGTCAGCTACTTCGTTGCTCGTTGCACCTACGTTTATATTTTGTGGGGTAGACAGGACGTAAAAGCACCCCGTCTAGACGTAGATAGTCCAATTCGCAATCGGTCTAGTTTGCAAACAGTCCAGTTCGCAAATAGTCCACTCTTTAGATTCGAAGGCGAGGCATAGTTAGTTGGGGACCTCGTCATTGTCATCTCATCATCACCATCCATCGTGGTTATTATCAAAATTCTCATCATATAAAGACTGGACCCCTTCAGAGCAAAATGAGCAAAAAGCAAAATGAGCACAAGAATCAAAATGAGCATAACGCAAAATGAGCAAACAGCTGAAAACTCGTTTATCTCGGCAATTATTCATGCTAGACTATCAGTTTGTTTGGGAAAGTTGTACGCCTTAATGAGACCTTTGTTTTATGTGACAGCTGTCAAACTAAAAACTCGTTTATCTCGGCAGTCCTTCAAGCTAGACTATCAGTTTGTTTGGAAAAGTTGTAGGCCTTGATGATACCTTTATTTTATGTGACAGCAGTCAAACTAAAACATCACACACGCACACACACACCACATACACATCACACACACACACACACACACACACCCCTACACACACACACACACATATATACATTAACATATTCACACACACACACACACACACACACACGTATTAGTGGGCAGTTAGTGAACTAAGAAGTAGGTGAATTGATATAGAATTGGTGAATTGGCTATTTGAGAAGTTGTCTTTTTGGGACAGTTGTCCAGATGCTCCGGAGGGATTGGGCCCATCAAAGCAAAATGGGCAAAAAGCAAAATGAGCAAATTTGTGCACATTTTGCTTTTTGCTCATTTTGCTTCCGGTGCTCATTTTGCGTTTTGCTCATTTTGCTTTTTGTTCATTTTGCGTTTTGCTCATTTTGCTGTTTGCTCATTTTGCGTTTTGCTCATTTTGATTCTTGTGCTCATTTTGCGTTTTGCTCATTTTGCTCGACTGGACCATTTGCGAACAGAACCGTTTGCGAACTGGATTAATTGCGAACTGGACCACTGGACCATTTGCGAATTAGACACAATGCGCCCTACAGAACAATCGGCTTAACGAAGGGAAAGTGATTTGAACTTTAAGATTTATAGAAATAAAAGAACAAAATTGATAGGTACACAATATGATTTATTTCAATAACGATACATTTTTAAATAAAACTAACTCCGCTGACTCGGCAATCCCAATATAACTGGGTGATATAATTATAAAGTGTATTTTTTTTTAAATAAAACCTTAATTTTACTAATTATCGTGCTCATAATCAGATAAACATAGAGGGCATTAATTTAAATGGTTAGGTTCAGTATCGATAAAGACCGCAAACAAATTTGAATTAACATCCTGTGTATGTATACGATATACTTAGAAAATGAATATCATATTCGCATAAAATATTTACTAAGCGTCAATTTCAATATTCATAATAAAATGTAACTTAGATTATAGTTTAGTGAGCGAGTAAATTCTACTCTGGGAATGTATAAGTTAATTTAATCACTTTTTATATAGGGTTAAATTCAATTAAGTACAAATATTTTAAGAGCGTGTCCTACTCACAAAACTGAACAACTTATATTACAAACATTTCGAAATGTGAAAAAAAATCTTATAAAAGTTGCTCAGTTTTGTGAGTAGAAAACTCAAAATCAGTTGGTGATAAGGAAATATGAAAAAAATTGGACTACCAACACAAAATAGCTAATCGGTTGATTTCAGCTACTACGGGAGTTCCAAATGATTTTGTATTCAAACAAAACATGTTGCGTCGATCCCAAGCAATTGGGATAAGAGCAGGAAAATGATGATGTATAGAAAGAATAGATAGATTATATGAGATTTAACCTTTTAACTATCTTTGACAATATTTTTATTTCCCTTCACTATTCACATTCTTAGTGGTATCTTTGAAGAGCGCATCTAAAGACAATTGTTGCGCTTTTGACAGTTTAGCACCTTTCATATCCAACACTTTATGGAACTCAGCTAAAGTACACTCCGGTAGTAACTGCACGAATTGGGAGACAAAATTCTCGACATTATTGTCCAAAGGCGCCATCACTAGTTTTAGTATCATTTCAGCTTTAGTCATAAGTTTTATCACGACTTTTGTGTAAGTAGCGGGCGCGGGCCGTTTCACTTCGGAACCTATAGACGGTAATTCTAATAGTGAAGTTTTTAGCATATGAGTGTCTAGTAGCAACTGCTCTGAGCCAACAGTGGATATAGGCTTGCATTTGTATATATTTTGAATGAATTTCGGTATGAAAGAGTTGGCGAATCTTATGCAGAACTGCGTGAAATACTTTCTCGAAGACGCTAAGTTGTCTCTTAGGTTGGGAACTGTGTTTTTCAGATGCATTATTATTTGGGTCACATAAGAACTTTGATCGCCGACGTTGTCGAAGTGCAGCCATGATATTTTGGTCATGGCTTGTAAGGCAGGCTCGCACGCTAATTCTAGATCTTGTACTAGAAGTTGTATACAATTGCTAATCATTTTGTGAAACAAGTCTTGCTCAGGAAGTAGATCGATCTTATCGGCTAGGTTGGGTGCGACTTTTTCTTTTAGTTTTTGCTCGAGATGAATGGTGGTTTCCAAACAGTATTCTGATGTGGTTATGACGCTGGTGATTTTAGCAATTTCTTGTTTCGTGTACCTGTAACGAAAAGCATTATATTATATTTAATTTTTCAAGTTAGATATCAAACAAAGTTTAGAAAACGATACATATACGGGGTGTTAGGGACGGTGTAACGAAAACTTTGCAGGCGTGATCAGACCATGAAACTGAACAACTTTTACTATGGAGCCAATGGTGGAAAACGAAAAAAAAATTCTCACCTCCCTCCCATACAAAGTCAGTCAGCTGATCGTGAATTTTGTATGGGAGGTCGAAAAATATTTTTCGTTTCCCACCATTGGCTCCATAGTAAAAGTTGTTCAGTTTGATGGTCTGATCATGATCAAAGTTTTCGGTACACCGTCCCTAACACCATGTATACACACACAAAAAATCTCGCCTCTTTCTGAGGGGTAGGCAGATTACTTTCCCCCACTTGCTACGATCCTGAAACACCTTTTTTGCTTCCTCAACATCCATCAGTCTTAAGGGCTACTCTTGACCTAACCTCTCTTTAGCACGTCCCCGATTCGTCGAGGTCTCTCCCTTGCAAAGATCATTCGGCATTAGGTAACGATCATTCGTCATTAGGAAACGAAAATACGTCATTAGAAAACGATCGTTTCGCATTACGAAACGCTCATTCGGCATTAGGAAACGATCATTCGGTATTAGGAAACGATCATTCGGCATTAGGAAACGCTCATTCGGCATTAGGAAACGCTCATTCGGCATTAGGAAACGATCATTCGGCATTAGGAAACGATCATTCGGCATTAGGAAACGCTCATTCGGCATTAGGAAACGCTCATTCGGCATTAGGAAACGCTCATTCGGCATTAGGAAACGGTCATTCGGCATTAAGAAACGGTCATTCGGCATTAGGAAACTATCATTCTGCATTAGGAAACGTTCAGCATTTACCTCTGCGTATGAGAGTCGTCTCTCAGTAGAGTGTGCAGGTTGGTTCTTGGTTTGTTATGTATTTTGCTTATGTATGATTTTTGATAGTTTTTTGTTTGCCTTTATTCTAATTCACCTGCTTACTCGTTCACGTGTCCTCAGAGTTTCTCAAAGGTTGATTGGAAGAGATCCCTAAATGATATAAGTCCGCCTTTGCGCCATATCTTGTTTTTATTTCAATTTGTTCTCTGTATTTTAAAAAGGTACAATAAAGAGATTATATACAGGGAGTAACGGAAAGGGTATAACAAGCCAAAAGGAGGTCAAGGTACTCATGAAACTGAACAACTTTCCCGAAATATGAAAAATGAAAAAAAAAAATTGGACCTCATAGTAAATCAATCAGCTGATCGGCGATTTTGTAGGAAAGGTGCAAATTTTTTTTTTCACATTTCGACCCATGTTCCATGGGAAAAGTTGTTCAGTTTCATGAATACCTTGAACTCCTTTCGGCTTGTTATACCCTTTCTGTTACTCCCTGTATAGTATACATAAACAAAAAATCTCGCCTCTTTCCTAGGGGTAGGCAGAGACTACATCCTTCCACTTGCTACGATTCTGAAATACCTCTTTT